TATATATATATATTTGGTCCTATTATATTATATATATTTATATGTTATATAAATGAAATAAAGAATGAAATTTAACTGATTTTTTTTATTATATATAGTTTTTTTTGTTCTATTATATTTAGTTATGAATAAAAATAAAATTTAACTTATTTTCCTTCTTTTTCTTTTCATCTATAAGATTTCAAAGATGACAAAAGACAAAAAAAAAATAATATTACAAATGCAAAACTTATATGTCGATATATTAAATTTTAATTTTTCTATTAGAAAAATTTTAATTTCTATTAGAAATGTATTAAATTTTAATTTATTTTTTAAAATTATCATTAGTATTAAGTTATATCTTTTTATTTAAATTATTTTTTTAAAATTTAATCTAATTGTATTGAGTCAGACATGTATAAATAATTATGACTTGTTAATTAGTATAAAAAAATTGTTGAATTATGATCCACTTAAAAAAGTTAAAATTTATATATAAAAAAATAATGGGGGTTATTATAGATAAAATAGGATAGAATTATGTAGGTAACCTCCAGTCTTGTTTGGGCTTGCAACCAGATAGGAAGAAGTTAATAAGATCATCTTTTGTCAAGGGAGCCTCTGTGGCGAGTGGAGGAAGATGATCAACAGCTGGTCCCGTACCAACGATTACTCTTTGCCCTCGTCTCCTGCCTCTATCTTTGTACACTAACTCATCATTGCCTGACCCTGACCCTGACCCTGACCCCAAAACCATCCATCCCCACCCATTTAGGACTCCCATTTCGCCTAACCAACACAAGAGGGAAAAGTGAAGGAAACTTGTTGCCATTACTTTGAAATAAGCAATGTATATAAATGGTACAGCTTTGCCGTTGAGTTACACGTGTCATGATAGGGGCACCTCACTTTGATGACTCTGCTTATCTCATGTAATTTGGTCGACAAGTGTTATGTTCCTCTCCTATCGGCTATCGGGATAACTCTTCACGTCGCCTCTATATCTCTCTTTTTTATTATTTTTTTTTTTTTATAAATTATATATATTTTAAAAATAATTTATCAATATTAAATTTTTTTATTATGATAAAAAATATTTATCACAAGTCTAAAATATAATTCGGTAAAATTCTTAAATACAACATAAATTTTATATTCAGAAATACATCTTTTCTATAAATTTTAGTTAAATGAAATAAAAACATATTTTATGTATTGCACAAATTAAAATTATTGGTCATAAAAAATGGAAAGTTTATTAATTAAACTAGAATAGTTGTCTTGAATGTAGTAATTTAAAATAACAAAATTGAAATTTTACTAATTAGAGTATTTTTAAGATATTTTAAATTTATTGTCTTCCTTAATATACTGTTTTAATCTTTATTTTTAAATTAAATTTTATTATGTTTAAAAGAAATTATTAATAATTTAAAACTAAACAGCACGCGGCCCGGTTGACGTGAGGATCCAAAATTTATATATCCCGGCTTGACAAAATTGGGCCAAGAAAGAAGTTTGGGCCTCAGTGGATCACTAATGAGAGAACCTAACCTAACCAACCCAAACCAAACTATCTAGATGATCAGTTATCTTTCCAAAGAAGCTTTCCCGTGCGATACGACACAGTAAGAAGCTATTTAATATCTGACGAAACCAAACCATAGCACTGTACACAAAGACAAGACTCAACTCCATCATCCTTACTTCACTGCACTGCACCGCACCTCGCCAAAAAGGTAAACTCAACTTCGTCGTCTCTCTGCTCTTCGCTATTGCTTCGTGCTTAGTTAGTTACTAAGTTAGTTATATTCCAAGTGTGCACATTCATGAACTCGCGGTGCTCATAGATGGGGAAGGGAAAACCTAGGGCAGTGGAGAAAGGTGTGGTAGGACCTAGTTTGAGTGTTACGTCCTCCACTATACCTGCGGGACCTGTGTATTACCCTACTGAGGACGAATTCAAGGATCCTTTAGAGTATATTTACAAGATTAGACCCGATGCTGAGCCTTATGGAATTTGTAAGATTGTGCCTCCCATTTTTTATAAATTATATATATTTTAAAAATAATTTATCAATATTAAATTTTTTTATTATGATAAAAAATATTTATCACAAGTCTAAAATATAATTCGGTAAAATTCTTAAATACAACATAAATTTTATATTCAGAAATACATCTTTTCTATAAATTTTAGTTAAATGAAATAAAAACATATTTTATGTATTGCACAAATTAAAATTATTGGTCATAAAAAATGGAAAGTTTATTAATTAAACTAGAATAGTTGTCTTGAATGTAGTAATTTAAAATAACAAAATTGAAATTTTACTAATTAGAGTATTTTTAAGATATTTTAAATTTATTGTCTTCCTTAATATACTGTTTTAATCTTTATTTTTAAATTAAATTTTATTATGTTTAAAAGAAATTATTAATAATTTAAAACTAAACAGCACGCGGCCCGGTTGACGTGAGGATCCAAAATTTATATATCCCGGCTTGACAAAATTGGGCCAAGAAAGAAGTTTGGGCCTCAGTGGATCACTAATGAGAGAACCTAACCTAACCAACCCAAACCAAACTATCTAGATGATCAGTTATCTTTCCAAAGAAGCTTTCCCGTGCGATACGACACAGTAAGAAGCTATTTAATATCTGACGAAACCAAACCATAGCACTGTACACAAAGACAAGACTCAACTCCATCATCCTTACTTCACTGCACTGCACCGCACCTCGCCAAAAAGGTAAACTCAACTTCGTCGTCTCTCTGCTCTTCGCTATTGCTTCGTGCTTAGTTAGTTACTAAGTTAGTTATATTCCAAGTGTGCACATTCATGAACTCGCGGTGCTCATAGATGGGGAAGGGAAAACCTAGGGCAGTGGAGAAAGGTGTGGTAGGACCTAGTTTGAGTGTTACGTCCTCCACTATACCTGCGGGACCTGTGTATTACCCTACTGAGGACGAATTCAAGGATCCTTTAGAGTATATTTACAAGATTAGACCCGATGCTGAGCCTTATGGAATTTGTAAGATTGTGCCTCCCAAGGGTTGGAAACCCCCTTTTGCTTTGGATCTCGACACTTTCACTTTCCCT